TCTCACACACACACACACACACACACACACACACACTGTATCACCATCGGTGCATTCACACACACACACAAACACACACACACTGTATCACCATCGGTGCATTCTCACTCACACACACACACACACTGTATCACCATCGGTGCATTCTCACACACACACACACACACTGTATCACCATCTGTGCATTCACACACACACACACACACACACACACACACACACACATTGTATCACCATCGGTGCATTCACACACACACACACTGTATCACCATCGGTGCATTCTCTCACACACACACACACACACCCACACATTGTATCACCATCGGTGCATTCACACACACACACACTGTATCACCATCGGTGCATTCTCTCACACACACACACACACACCCACACATTGTATCACCATCGGTGCATTCACACACACACACACTGTATCACCATCGGTGCATTCTCTCACACACACACACACACACCCACACATTGTATCACCATCGGTGCATTCACACACACACACACACACACACTGTCTCACCATCGGTGCGTTCACACACACACACACATTCGTCCCTTGTGTGTGTTCAGGCTTGAGAATGAGGTGAAGCTGCAGGAGCTGTGCTCAGAGCTGGAGGCGGAGCGGGAGTGGGCGGAGACTCGGAGGAGGCGGGACCTCGAGCGACTGAGGGAGGTGTCAGAGGAGGAGCTCCGGGCTGAGAGGGGGCGGCTACAAGAGAAGAAGGAGGAGCAGCTGACCTCCATCAGACTACAGGTGTGTGTTTGAGAGTGTGTGTGTGTGTGTGTGTGTGTGTGTGTGAGAGAGAGAGAGAGAGAGCAGTAAGTGTGTATATAAGTGTGTGCGTGTGTGTTTAACACTGTTGTGTTTGTCAGGCTAAACTGAGGGACACACAGAAGGATTTGAGGAGCACACGACCAGAGCAGCCTTTAGCAGAGTACCAGAGAGAGGTACAACACGCACGCACACACACACGCACATTATTATTATTATTATTACTATTACCAATAAATAAAGATATTAAACAAAATAAGAAATTACTATTGCAATATTTCACTGAAAAATAAAAAATAAGTATTTAAGAAAAATAATAATTTACTCATTTAGGGGTTAGGTTATTTTGTTTTACAGTAAAACTGTAAAATTATACTATTTATAATCTTAATTTCTTCATTTTTAAATGCTAAGCCAGCCAACTTTTATTCTGATGGAAAACCTCACAGAGCCTTAAAGCTGCTCTATTGTTGATAAACGCTTCTAATTACACATTTGTGAAGAAGGTTGACGTGTTGCGTTTCCAAACGAATGTTAAAGCGACTCAAACTCCGAGCAGATGCAGATGGAGCTCATGTGGATCAGTAACTGAATCGAGTTGCTCTGAGACGCTGAACACCAGCAGATCATGAGCTGCTGACGTATAAATGAACAGAGACACGCTTCACTCTGAAACACACAGCGCTGACAGTGATTGAATTAAATCACAGCCTTTGCCAGTTCATAATTGCATGAAGCCGTGTTGGGATTTTATTCCTGATATTGTGCAGCTCTGACTGGAGTGTGTTGGTGTGTGTGTTTAGCTCACAGATGTGCTGCAGGAAGTCCGGGAGGAGGTTGAGAGAGATCACAGGAGGAAACTAGAACAACTGAAGGAGGAACATCAACAGGAGCTACAGAACCTGAGAGAGACACACCTGGAGCAGGTACAACACACACACACACACACACACACACACACACATCTGGAGCAGGTACAACACACACACACACACAGTCAAACACACACAGTTACACGCACACACACACACACAGTCACACACACACACACACACACACACACACACACACTGCAGCAGACTA